CCTTCCTGGTATCACCACTCTCACCACTGGTCCTGAGGGGTTCATCTGTCCTGGATTCCCTTTGTTTCCAGTTCCCATGTGTACCGCTGCGCATCATCTGGTCTAACCAGGTTTGCAAGGTAGAATTGGGATCATGATAGTGGAGGGAAGGAAGTATTTAAGAACTAGAGGAAGGTTGTTTCATTATTGCTACACTGAATCCTGAGTGACTCATCTCCTCCCCAGTACCCCACTGCAAGGTATGTCCAGTTTTCTACAGATGGGCATTGGGTCCCCATTACTCGCCACCCTCATTCACGATGATATGGTCCCTCACCCCCCACCCCAACCTTTGGTGCTTGAAACCTGGTCCCTTCAGCCCTTCATGATCACGCATGTTAGTGCGCTGCTTCCATGTGGGCTTTGTTGCTTCTGGGCTAGATGGCCACTTGTTTACTTTCAAGCCTTTAAGACCCCAGACGCTATAAGTCTCGATAGCCGGGCACCCTCAGCCTTTTTCACCACACTTACTTATACACATTTGTCTTTGGCATTTATATGAGGAAGGTGACAGATTAAATTTTTAAGGGACAGAAAGTACATGGTGGTCAAACAATAGGGGCAGGATAGTGAGAATAGTGATATAATAAGAATGTAACCACTGTCAATGTTAATGGTGTATGTTTTGTTTGTATATTTTCATACAAAAATATCATTAAATTAATTTTGGATTCATAGAATAGGGAAGTGGTAACAAATGATCAAGATTAAATTTTATTTTCTATGTAGCTATGATAGGCAGTTAGAATACAGATAAATGGGGGTTGTCTTCCCCAAATGCCTACACTAGCAAAATGGGCGGGCAGGGCCAAAATAAAGGGGTTGCAGGGAAGTGAGATACACATCAGACACCAATGGGAAAGCACCTAGGCACTGTCGACGTGACATCACACAGGTGCACTTGAACTCAGCCAATAAGGTCGGCCAATACCCATGGGGGGGGGGGGGGGAGGTTTGAGCGAAGACAGTCCCTCTCTTGGCCTTTGGGGATTTCCTGATCTTTGTTCTGCACAGTGGTTTTTTAAGCTCCTGTTCCGGTATTGTTTTCATGTGTTTTTTTTCCACACTCTCCTAAAGAGTCCATCTTAAGCAACAAGCTCCCATGCGATCTTGTACACTTTCCAGAAATAGGGTATACTTGTTGAGACTGTAATACCTGAAACTTTCCCTTCCCTAATCAAAGTTACTTGGATTTACAAAAGTGCTTCTGCAGCGTGAATTCATTCAGCATTCACGAAGCAAGAACCGAGGTACACCATCCCAGAAACCTAACAGCTATACCTAGTAGTTAGCCATTATAAACCTTATCACAATGAACTCTACTTTCATTGCCACTTCAAAAACATCTGCTAATGTACAACCATTCCAATTAGTTAGAGTTCCTAAGCACTTTCCACTTGTGTGTATTCTAATGTAAATTATTCAATCTGATTCAAGCCATCAACATGTTTATACAAATGAAACCCTAATTATTCTGATACCTACCCGGTTCCGATGGGCGTTGATTGATGCATAGCGAACGGTTCCTCGAAAGCCTGCCACAGCTCGAGGCTATAATAAAACCAAACACATACTAAGTCAGCTTCAAATGCTAGTAGAATCACCACTTCTTTTTTTTAAAGATTTATCACTCTTGAGCCCATAAAAGAGAAAAGTGAAACATGTTCGGCACTGTCAAACATTTAAATTCAAACTTTTTATTGTAAAATTATAGGGAAACTATCAAATAGCAAAACCACTGATAACATGTTAATTTTGTTTCCACCTACATTTAAAAATAAAGTGACACTAAGACGTAGAGAAGTAGTTCTGTACATTAGAGAACATTAAGAAGCATTCATATACCCAGAACCATGCCAAACATCACAGCACATATATGTTTCAGTTTGGGTGATAAATAAGTATATTAGGAACATGAGGATTCACTAACTTTAGATGCCAAATACCATGCTTGGTTATTTTACTCAAATTTAATTTAAATGAGGTAACAACTTGTACCCTCCCAATACTTATATATGAAAGTCGCATATTCAAGTTTTGGGGTACTTTTTAATGTTAGAAACTAAAACTAAAGACAAACATGAGTTCTCAGAAATCCCCACTTAGAATAACATAGTAATTCTTTTCCAAGATCTCACACCAGCTTCCTTCCACAATCGTATGGTTACTCCTACAATTTTTTACCAGCTCAAGACTTTGGACTTGCCATTTTTTCCACTTGTCTCTACATTAGAGCTTATATTCTGAGCATTACATTTGCAAAAGGCTGCATATTACGGTGGAAGCTCTAAATCATTTTGAGTCTCCATATAAATTAAGCCTCTACTGAATTCTTTCTTACCATTGACCAGCAATGTGAAAAGTTTTGCCCTCATGTAGTGTGTTAGCAAGTACATTATTACCACTCCCCTAGCCAATAGTGGGAGGGAGCAGTTAAGTCCTCAGGGACTTGCTTAGGTGTGTCCTTGATGGAAATTGAGGTATTGGTATTAGGGCTGAATAGTCATATCTTGAATGCCTTGGTTGGAGAGCTCCTGAATCATTCTTTTTTTTTTAATTACTGTTTTTTCTTGCTGTTTTATTATTTTATTTGCTATGAGGGAAAAGTGGGAGATTTAATTAGTTGAGGAACATTTAATGTACCCTATACACTGAAACAAAGCTTTTATTTTTCTGCCAATCACAATTGATTTCCATCTATAATTTTTTTAAAGATAATTTTATGGGGGGGTGGGCTTTAGTTACTTTTCTATTGTGAATTAAGTGGAGGGATTTAAATGTCAGACCATCAATCTTCATTCAACATTTCAAACCACACATTCTCTCTCTCTCTCTCTCCTCTCCCTCCCAACCTCCCCCCACCCACTTCCAATTTATCTTCCTCCCAACCTCCCCTGACCCACTTCCAATTTATCTTTTTCCTCTTTGGACCTCTATCTTACCTTTCGCCCAAGTCAATACCTGTCAACCCTTCAGTCCCTTTTTTCATTTTGCTCTCCCTTGGGAACCTACAAAGTTTGTTCTCATTGGTATGCAAGTCCAAATTCACATCCCTTTGGTGTACAAGTCCTTATCCTAATATAGTGGTCTCATATAACACCTCTCATTTTTGTGAATAGGAGCCCTCATGGTGTAGTGGCTACATGGGAGGCTGCAATCCACATGGAAGCCACCACAGTTTGAAACCACCATAGCTCCTCTTGAGAAAGCCTGGGCTTTCTACTCCTGTTTAACAGTCTCCTCCAAAACCAGAGGGTCACTAGGAGTCAGAACTGACTCAATAACAGTGAGTTTGTTTTTTCCCCTCAGCATAATGTTCTCCAGGACCATCTATGTCATGAGGTGTTCCTTGTTTCCACCGTGTTTCCTGGTTTCCGTGTGTGTTTCCATAGTATTCCAGTGTGTGTGTACCAACGTTTCTTTATCCATTCTTTTGCTGTTGGGCATTTGGGTTGTTTCTAATGTCTTGTTACTGTGAATAATGTTGCTACTGTGAATAACGTTGCAATGAACATGGGAATATATATGTCTATTTGTGTTACGGTCCTTACCTCTTTAGAGATATTGATCAGTTATTTGAGGTAGCACCATACTGATTTCCAGCGGTGTGTGATTTCTATGATCAGTTGTTTGAGGTAGCACCATACTGATTTCAGCAATGGTTGTAGAAACGTACAGAACCACTAGCATAAC